TAAGCAATTTCTTATGCGGAAGTATTACGATGTGTTGCATACCTATTTACAAACAATTCCTTTAAATTTTAATCATTGATTACTATACATCTATTAAAAACCATAATGGCCGACGTCAGTGATAATGCGACAACAATTGAAAAAGAATGATGGCCGACAACAGCAACAATTACAAAAGAATGATGGCCGACAACAGCAACAATTAGAAAAAATGATGGCCGACACTACGTCATAGTATTGTTCACAAAAGTGAATTTCGACCACTCGAAGCAATGGTGCTAACAGTTTCGAGCTCACAGCGGCTGCTAAGGGGGAAGAACTAGTATATATAACAAACAATTTCCGTGGATAGTAATTGATTCCAATAACTGTTGGCAATAATGTAGGATAAATAAATTGTAATGGTAATTTCTGTTAAATATTATTTATTGACCCAAGACGACGTTTCGCTTCTATTTACCAGAAGGTTTTCAAGTCAAATTAACTTCTAGTTCGTGAGTGCTATAACAATATATCACGGAAAATTAATTGAAAGAGATAAAAAATTAAAATTAACGTCATGTGAACGGGGATTTATAAGATCTGCATCAGTAGAATTTGATGGACAAATTTATATGACATCGCACGACTTCCTCGCCAAGACTTCGGCCAAAAAGATAAATTTTGAAGAGTAAGGACGTCGAGAATTTCAACGAGCAGACGCCCAAATTGAATCAAGGTTCAATAGATATCTTGGACTATTAAATAAAATTTAATAGCAATTACCAATGAAATTTATTTATCTTACAAAAAACCTTCTTAATGAAAATTGGTAATTAAGATTGTACTCGGATAGGTCCTAATTTGTATTATTTATTGATTACTATACTAAATTGTTTTTTATTTTGTTATTATGTTTCTATTTCTGTCGTTTGTTGGTATATTATAATTATAAGGTAGTCAGTCCTAAGTCTGGTTGGACACGCACCTCCACTCATTCCTATCTTGAGCTAATCGTCACATTTCCCTCAATTTTTCAGATTTTAATTAACGGTAACTTATTAGTATAATTATGTTACCTTTCAAACTTTTTGTTGAAAATATGCCCACCAAGAATTAAAATTTCATTAGTTTACTGTTTACACGACTTTTTGAATGAGACCTAATTTGGTTTGGGACGTTGGTGAGGGTGGTATTTAATGGAAAGCCTGCCAAAACGAATACTTAAACCAGAGCCGGGCAAACTCGGCTCTTCTGACTCCCGAGTGCTCTTCAGGTATAGCCAAGGAGCTCCTCAATGCTCCTGCGAGTGCGAGTGAGATGATTCTTTCCTTTTCTTATCCCTTCCATTTCGTAGGTGAGTCCCCTCTTCTATAGCCGAACCCAACAGTATTGCGATCGTAGTCCGGCATGCTACCCCTGAGCTGCGGGACGATAATTAGAAAATTTTCATAAACTTAAACCATTAACATTAACCGTAGTGGTTTTGCGGGATATCGGAACGGGCATTTGGTACAGTTAATGCAGGATACCTGGTTATCCGGTACTCTGCCTGGTTATCCGGTGGATTTCTATGTATTTTTTTAGATATCTAACGTCATACAGAGTTTTATCGCGTCGTTAACGAAGGTACTACATCTTTCCTGACAAGGAATTAATTCGAATTTAGTACATTCTTGTTGGTTATTACGCTTTTCCCGATTGCGGTGTTATATTAAATTACGACAACGTATAAGGGGTTAAATTTTACAACAGTTTAATTCCGCTCACGGATGCATGCCACCAGGTAGGAAATAGTTGGCGTTGGGGGCAATTTATGAGCGCATTTAAAGAGTTAAACCGGTTAAACATGTTATGCAGATGAACAACGGACGTGCACGTTTCAGTGAATTTCTTAATTAAAACCCACGTCGCGCTAACTTCTTCATTAGGTACGTGTTTCGACCCATTGATCAAGTTTTTTCCAAATAATGCACTAAATGAACTCATTTAACACTTAAATTTAAGTATAATCTTTTAAGAAGATTTTAGCAATATTCTTCAACGAACGTACAATACAGGAGTATTATCCTGTAATAGTTGTGACTAGGGTTGCCATCCGTACTTTATTACAAAGTATTGTACTCTATTTCGACTGTGCGTACGTTATACTTTACAAGACATATAAAGTACGCAAAAATACTTTATTTAAGGCCTTAAGTAAACATCGTAATTTTGTAAGCGATTATTCGAAATTCAGAGTATTTTTACATCAATAATATTGCACAGAAAAATGGCAAGCCATATTTACGGAACAACCTGATTTCCCAAATCTGTTCAAAGTAGTGTCACTTTTGCTGTCCGTTCCGGCCACATCAGCATTTACAGAAAGAGTATTGTCTGTTATGAACACAAAGCGGTGGGACGACAGGAATAAAGCTTCATTAAAACTAATTGAAAATGAACTTTTAGTTTACTTAAATCTTTGTTTGCCATGTTTAGAGGCTATTAATGTATTTAAGAACGACACCAATTTGTTACTGGCTGCTAGGTGTAACAAAACATATGGTTTTAGAAAATACTTTATTTTTATGCTGAGTACTTTTTTTTTTAACCATTTAGTCGAGAAATACTTTATGTAAAGCCTGAAAAGGTGGCAACCCTAGTTGTGTCGCCTATGACATTGGCCAGACAGGTAGAAACTTAAAAATCCGATTGAGCGAACATAAAAAATCAATACATAATAGATAAAAAATATAGTACAGGTATTATAACTTCCTGTATAAATTTTAATAATTTTGGTAATGTATTGTTACTCTTGGTAAAGCCACTTTCACACAGTGCGATAACGACATGATTTACTAACGCTCTATTGAAGACACCTCTCTGTCGCGGCATCTTCAAATATTAAACGATATATTTAAATAATATTCTTAGAATTAGTATTTCTACCCTTGTTTGTCGAAGGCGCGTATACTACTATAGGTAATACAAATATATTGTATTTTAACCAACGATAGCAATGAAAAGTGAATGGTGGGGTGAAACTAGCTAAATGCCTAACATTTTTGCGTAATTGAGAAATAATTTTGGTAAACGTATTGAAGCGTAATTATCCCCCCATCATATGGTTCAGAATAGTCTTTTATCAGATGTCTCCTCCTTATAAGGTTTATACCAGCCCCTAAGCCTGTGCCCAAAATAAAATGCTAAGGGCAACGTTCGAAAGAACAAAGTGTATTGTTAATCCAATTAGGATTATACTGGAGATAGGGAAAAATTCAAATAGGATGTGCTAAGGAATTACAAAATGCGAAAGGGAGTTGATTTTATGTTGTTTTCGTTGGCTTTCTTTTGTTTGTGTTGTTTACTTAAAATGGATTAATTTTTCGTAAAGACGGCTTACTGTCAGAGGTACCACTGTACTTTCTGCCCCTTTCGCTTGAAATTGGCAGGCACTTTTTCGCTTACTCGAGCTTAATCCCGTTTACTTCATTAATTTACACCACAATAAATCTTTCGTGTTAGTGCGAGGGGTTGCTTACACCCGAGACAAGATAAATCACCAACCAAACTCCGTCGGTTGCGTTAGTTCAGACGCACCCTGGTCTCGTCATGACGCCGGGATTTGCTACCTCTCTTTGGGAGTAAGAAGGTTAGATAACGGCGCTGTTGTGATTAACAACGCAAAGTAAAGATAACTTAGAACAAACGCAAAACTCTACGAAGTGTGTCGTCTTCGAGCGAGAAAATTTATTGTACTCGTCAGGTAGTATGTTACACAGGCAGTTCTTTGGTGGCGGTAAAGGTGGATTCGGTACTTAACCATCTTGTTCCTTGCGAAAACATAAATATAAAGACTGTTTATTTTGGATGGGGAAGATCGTGCAAACTAAACGTGGGATCTTATGACAAGTTCAGCGCTATACGCTGTAATCTTGAGAAAATTGCATGACAACTTACGTGGGTGGGAATAAGGGTGTCTCACCTTCTTTACTCAAATGTATTAAATGGCAAAGCCCATCTCATCTTTCAACATTTTTTGTAAAATTCTCTTTATTTCAAATTAGATTTGGGTTAAATATTTGCTGGTGTATTTTCAAATTTATTATTTTTATGATTAAGCAAAAACTTGCTACTGATTGTAACTAAATTATTCATGCGTTAATCGTATTTTTGATTATATCTAATATCTTAAGATAATCGGCCGTTTGTTCAAATTGAACCTCCTAAAACTTCTGGTAATGGAAAATTTCCCTTTGAACTTCCTGTTGTTGAGGTTGCTGCAAGTTAACTAAATATTGACATTTGTAATTGAATGAGTAATTCCTACAGAAAGAAGGAGCGGTAAAATGTAAGAGACACTTGGTCTACCCAGAAATTATTGTAGTTGTAGGATTCAAGGTTAGAAATGAAGAGGCATTAGAAAAATAAGAGAACAGAGGACTCTATGGAAGTCAATAAAAAGTAGGCAGGATAGGTTGGTAGGACATTCAGAGACATATTAGGAACAGAAACAGGAATTAAGAGGAGTAGAGGCAGACCTAGATTAGATTACTTTTGGTAAATAGGGAAATGCGAAGGTTAGCTCTGGATAGGAAAGAGTGGAGGTACGTGTCCAACCAGACTGACGACCTTATGATGATGAGTATTCACATAATGGTTGGCAAAGAACGTGTGTACAACTCCAAAGTTCAAACTGTTTCTTGCACTTACTGAATAATTTATCATTGAAAAGGACTTCATCAAAATTTGGAGGGCTTTCTAAAATCTAACTCTTGACCATGGGTAGGTTCTTCCTTTCCCCTCTTTTATTTTGCCTAGCGTTGAATTCAACGACTTTTGTAATAATAATAATCAACATTAAGGGAAAATGGTCTGATTGATTAGAAAAAAGACAAACTGTCTGGAATCAGATTGATCATGACACAATGAAGATTAGAACTCAATATTCACTAATTGTTTTGAATCAGAGAATATAATTTCTCTGGAATATTGAATTCAGATGTATCATCGTACATTCTCAAATAAAATACAACTGATTGTTTTTAAGTATATATATATTCTACATTTTTACCCTTGATTTGACAACAAACTAATCTTAAACTCATCGTCAGTTCATTGTACGATGGAATCAGCAATTAATTGGTTGCTGCCTTATGTTAATTAACATTTGTTGTTAACATTGTGTTTGAGGAATACAAACTCCCGTAATATTCCTCGCATAACCATCGATGCAGTAACAACCACTATTGCATCTGATGTTTATAATTCGACAAGGTTCACCAAGGGTTTCACATGTGGTTTGACATGCACTTCCGCACTGATATTCTTCAAAAGGTTTGTCACAAACAACTGAAATATATATGTGATTTAGTCATACAAATGGTAGCAAATACTACGTTATGGTATTAATTTATGATAAAGAAAATTACAAAACAAGAATGTTTCAACAAGCAGTATTTGTACTAGATGTTACAGCTAATGAAAATCAACTTGACCTACAAGCAAGATCATTAACTTACTTAATGAGCACGTTTAACGTGCTTAATAAGCAAGTTTTGACTAACTTACTTAGCAGATAAGTTATTGACTTAAGACAATAATATGCTTGTTAAGCTTGTTAAAAATGATGCATGCTGATATGGTTGGGAAGTCCAAAATTGACATAGTCCGCAATAAAACTGTCTCATTTACTTTCTTCCTTTAACTTACTAACTAGACTAGAGCGGTTGCTGACAGAACGCCGACTTTTACACACGACAGACGTTGTAGGCAATATCGTAAACGTAGAAAAGAGATGTCAGGTAGGAATTGCAGCGGACACCAATAAATAAAAAGCATTAATATTACATCAGTTAATGTGTAACAGAAAGGGATGCAGGCAAGCAGAATTTGAGCATGTTACCAGCATCGGACGTTAATGAAAGTTCATAGGAAGACTTGTTTAAACATCTAATTCCAACCAAGCAGTTATAAAATCCACTCTAGCAACCTTTAACTGCTCCACCGCTTATTATTATTACGTTATCTCTTTTCACTTTGTACTACTCATGAAGCATTTCCTAATTTAACAAGGGCGTGTTAAGAATGCAGTAAATGATTAGAGACCTAAGGGGAAATAAGAATGAAATTACGTCTTTTCTCGCAGATACTTTATTGCGGAGTTTGCCAGTTTTGATCGTCCAAACTATAGGTATCTACTTCAGCTGTTCACCAGTACTTTTAATAATAGTTTTATTCTGTTCTGGAAACCTCCAAACGTTTTGATGTTTTTCTTTTAGTTAGTCCGACACATGCATCTCTTACAGCTTTACTGGTTCCTTTATTTGTTTTTTAAGCGACATGTAAAGTACTGATATGCAAAAAATTAATTAGGTTGTCTTAAGCATGTCGATTCATTAAAAAAAAAAAATCAAATGGAATTGAGTCGATCCTCGATTAGTCGAGTCATAAAGTGATTTTCAGTAAGGAAGCTCATTTGTAAAAACTAACTGAACTCTGAAGCAACGACCAAAATATCGAATTTGAGAGAAAATGGTGTTGCAACTCCAATTTGTAGTGGAATTGTTTAAAGAAAAAACCAAGTGGCAAAACTACTAACAGTTTAATTCTTGTTAAAAGGTGTACAAAAAGAACTTACATGGGTCGAGTTGAGTGTTGAGTATTAGTTACATACTAGTCAAAAAACTAACTAACTATCATTCTTTCGAAAATGTCTTTTATAATAAAGTTTGGTTCTGCTTCATAAAAATATTGGTAATGCATCGATTAAAATAAATGGTTTAGGAGAACTGTTTCATATAACAGTATGGTTTCGCTATGCAAAACGTTATTGGTCATACATTGATTAATATCAATCTTGCATAGACAATTAATGAGATAAATGATATTACAAACGCAATACAGGCTAAAAGTTAATACACATACAGAGCGTTGAAAATACATATAAGCAGGGTGGAACCTAACAATGGACAGTTTATTTACGGTATATGGTTTTCTAACACAATTAATATAACTTAATGGTATCTGCCGTTATCACTTGGTGAAACATGATTCAAGAATTTTGGAATTTCACTTAAAACTTAAGCGAAATTTTCAAATTGTTTGATTTAATTTTGACAATTAATATGCTATTTATTTTATGGTGGGGGGTTTTTCTATTAAACGATCTTCACATTATCAAGTGTATTAAAATTTCGATTGTTTTCTTCGATTACTGTTTTGGTTCAATTCCGTACGATTTGTATCAAAATACCCATTGTATTATAAACCATATCCTATTTTTACAAATATATTAAAAATAAATGAAAATTAGATACTTACGTGGTAATACTTTCTTCAGAGCTAAAGCATTATGCACTGCAACGAAAATTAGTACGGTTAAAAATGTACTTTGAGACATAATTGTTAATACTTTACTGTTTTATGCTGATAATATGAAGTTTGTATGGCTTGTACTCTTGTACAAGATTAAAATTCCTATTTATACAACATTTATATGTATATGCACTCTTGTTTTTTAACGATATGATAAATATGCACTGTGTACAAAATGTAAACAACTGTGTAATTCTCTCCGATGAGTAAATAATATAGACACCAAGGTTGCGGTTTTATAAAAAGGTAATTTTGTTTATGGTCGTTATTGCCTTGGTATGGGGATTACCTCTGTCCAGTTTACAATCATATATATGCATGATTTTTAAGAGTCGCTCAAACGAATTTTTGACCATCCTTTCTTTAATTCTCAGAAAAACAAATACATTTGTTCAATCTAGTGCAATACTCTTATATTAGTTTTTGATGAGCAATTTACTTTAAATAAATTGCTAATAATTATACCAAAATTATTTATTCATAAAATAGTAAGAAAAACAAGGTGAATAATGAATAATAAATTGATATAATATTTAGTTAAAGTTATAGCAGAATAAATATTACTAGGTTAAACGTACAAGCAGTAATGGTAGTAAACAAGCAGTTAAACAAATGATTAAACAACATCCAAGTACAGGTAGTGTACCGCCATCTGGTTGACATTTACAGCTACAAAAGCACGTATTATACATATTACCTATATGGTATTAACTCGAATAACTAAGAGAACAACTTAATAGAATTCTTATTAAATGGTTAAGTACTTTTACTTGTTAGTATTTTGAATTGTTTTGGCTTCTTCACTCGCTACTAGTGTATCCCTAGACAAAAATTTTCAGTCTTTCTCCAGTCTCTCAGAGTCTTTCAGCGTCTCTGAGAGCGTCTCTCACAGTGTCTCAGTTATTGCCTAGGTGTTTTTATGGATCTATCACAGTCTTTGTATGAGAGACTCGAACGATAAAATTGTTAATTAAGAGATTCGAGTCTCTCACAGAGAGACTAAATAAAAATTGAGAGACTGGATTCTCTCGTAGAAACACTGGAATCTCTGAAATATGTTGAACTTGGAAAATTACACCACTTATTGAGCGACTCGAGTCTCTCGTTCAGAGACGCTAAACAGTTTTTTTGACAGTCTCTCGACAGTCTCTCTCAGCGACACCAGAAAGACTCGATGAGAAACGGAGTCTTGCTTTCAGAGACTTTGAGAGACTGAACATTTTTATCTCGGGATAATGCAACTTAATTACTACTAAAATTTATTAAAACAGTAATTTGGTGTATTTACTTTAGATCCGATTCCATGGGTTTAGCTTGACTTGAAACTGAAAATAATATTTTTTAAAACGAATTTTTTCCTATCACAATTTATAAAGTTTGTGGGAAGAGATTTTTGAAAAACTTATAAATGCGTGTATGAAGAAAAAATCCGGCCGACGTCTATATCAGTATTATTGGATGAATCGCAGGATTTAATTAGTTTTCAAAAAAAAAAATGGAGGCGGTTAAAAATTTATGTAAAAAAGGTAAATTGTTTTCCATATCGTATCCTAAAATATGTGACTGACGTTCCTTAACATCAGTCCGTCTTCACTTGCTTAAAGTTAACCAGTGAAAATTGAGAAGACCCGAAAATAAAAATAATAACTCTGTTTTTTTACTCTTTGTAATACCTTTTCATTTCTAACCTTCTCTGTCCCCGGTATCCTCATCATTTGCCCGGAACACCACATTTCCAACTTTCCAACCTTTTCTTTTTCGTCGCGTCCACCATGCAATCGCCGGACTCATACAGAGCTGTGCTCTAGACATAACCTATAACAATTCTTTTAGAGTTTCTAAGTTAACTGTTCACGAGCATAGAAGTGACTTCTTTTTTTTGAAGGTGACTGGACTGCGCTATCTTTTGTTTTATATCTCTACTGCTCCTTCCATCCTGAATTATCTGACTTCCAAGATATCAGCGACTTCTTCTAATTTTCCGTCCCCTCCCTTTATATTCACTTTTTGCCGTTTTAGCTCGTTGAGCGTATTTTACGTTGACTGAATTTTGGATTTTAAAAAAATCTACGAAGCGTACATCCGTTAATGGCTTATAACGATCGTGGTAATAAGAGTAATCAATTGTGAAGGAAAGAGGTCGGATAAATCAGTCGTGTATTTCGTATAAAATGAGTCTATCTTCTTATGAGATTCAAAAAAACTCGCATCAATCAACCACGTTCGTCCAATAGCATTGGGTCGGACCATTCTTCATAATAATTGAAAAATCGATTAGTTCGATTTCGTTCATTATTATGGTGTCAGGTATAAGTATGTAGGTAAATATGTATGTATGTGCACCAAAAATTGTAATTAGAATGCAGAGGTTATTTAATTTTTGTTTCAAGTCATACATATGTATTTATTTACGTTAGCTACAATAGTGGTAAAACATCTAAGAAGTAGGTAACTTCATGATCTTCTTTCAGGAAATTGGTAATTTTTTAGTCGGGAATAATATTTAAACTTTTCAAACCGTAATTTTGGAGTGGTACGTTTAATGCCATTCCTTAGTTTATTGTTAAAATGTACCAATTATTACAATAAGTAGGTAACGTATTTCCACATACGTATAATTTCGTTTGTGAAATATTTTTGTATTTTATGCAGTGAAAATGTAATTTCACTCTTACTTTTTGTAATTTATATGAAAGTGCTTGAGGGAATTTCGATAAATTTCAACCGTCCTACTTCGAAGAAGTTTGCTTATCGGGCACCCTTCTCCTAATTCTTGAATATGTAAATTTTCAACCTTTCCCTTTAATACTGTCAAACAAACTTCAATGTCATTAACAAGAGATCGATTTAATAAATTACACTCTCCAAATTTATAACGATTTAAAATTAATGGAAAATATCTAATGTTTAATTTTACTTAGTTCAAAGGTGTGTGGACATTGAAAATCATCTTTAAGGTTATAAGTACCTATTTACTTTATTTACGCGTACAATTATTCTCAAAATTGAAGATGAGCAGTACTTTGTAATACTCAGAGAAAATGAAAAACGAAAATTTACCTAAATATTAAAGCGATATTTACAATTTATCCCACTAGCCTGTTGCTTTGTAAGCGAAATAAAAAAAATTAAATTTGGACCCCAATTTGTAAAAATAAAATCCCAGCAGAAATAAATTTACTAGGTATTTTAGTTGATGTTACAAATTTAATTGTAATATTTAAGAAACTTGAAATAATTTTTAAAGAAACATGTCAAAATTAAGGTTAGGTTAGGTTAGGTTATTACAAGTTACCTAATAAATTCTACTATTTCTACGGCAAATTCAGTCATTTACAATCAAAAATTGTAATTTTTGCGTTGTCATAGAAATTTAGTTTTCTCCGTGTAAACACAAAACGTCGACGTACTAAGAGAAGAAAGTACTACATTCCTGAAATGTTACTCGAGGAAGGTGAGGGTGGGGCAGCATGCACCTTCTAGAGGGCAGTCTACTATTTTTTACCATACCCCTATCGATGGTATTATGATTCTTCCAGATTTCAGGACCTTCGGCTCGAAGGATGTTAAAATACTTTTCTAATATATTTTGCAATTTCTCGTCTCTAAAATCAGGAAATATAGTACTTTAGTGGCAGAGGTCCTGCAAAAACTCGTATGCGGTCCTCGGGAAGAAACGGCGACAACCCCTCCAAGTTTGCCTCTCTCTTGCTTTCGATTCGGGTGGCAATTTACACTCAATGCTGTGCTTTCTTCCCTTTATGGATAATATACTTGATTCTGGACCTGGCGGCCCAGTATGAGCATAACAGGTAGTGTTGGATTCCCGGGGAAGAAGTTCTCGGACCTACCGACTAAAAACCCTTAACCTCACTATTGGTTTGGTGCTTTAGAATTTAAGGAGTTTCAGGAGAGTTTGGGCGTTGCCCGGTAGTCGTCTACGGGTGAGCTGGCGTTCTAGAGTTTAACCTCTGCGTATTATTCTCCTTTAATCTATTAATCTTTTATTTACATAATTATAACGTAGCTTGTAATCGTTTTCTCATTTTTTTATTGCGAGAATTGTTTGTCTTTTGATTAGAATTATTTTTGAGATAGTTAAGTTTTTCAAAGAAAATGTTCCAAACTTGACCAAAAAAATATAAATGCATTTGCAATATTCATAATAGAAAAACTGGTTTGATGGAGTAGAGGTAGACTTAGATTACTGTTCGCAAATAGTTAAGGATATGGGTTGCTATTGCATATTAAATGCAAAGAGTGAAGGTGCGTGTCCAACCAGTTTTAGGACTGACGACCTTATAATGATGATGACTTGCATAATTGAAGATTATATGGTTACAATCAGCCGAAATTGGGGATCTCCCCTTCCCCGATACTTCTCGACGCTCTGCTTACCTCCGATAGGCTTTCTAAGTCCCCAGAAGTGAATGGCTCGTTTATATGTGAATATGTCTTGTATATACTCGTATAAAGTATACGTACATATGAGATAAAAGGCAACATTCCAATGTTTTACTGAATCCCTACCTCCATTGGAAATCCTAGATCCATTACTGGAGTCCTTCCACGGGTCTTGTCGCTGATGTTGAGGTTGAGGATATTAAAGTTGAATTCGTAGTGTCTGTTGTTTTAATAGTCGGAATGGATTTCTGAATCTGGTTTGTTCTGTCTCATTAGTCATGATACCTAGCCGGATGTGGGCCACTGCAATTTTTAGAAACCTAGGTAGAATGATCTATCCTTATTGATGGAAAAACTGCATTCCTTATTTGTATTTACACTGCCGTGTTAATAGGTACCAGTTGATACTTGAATTATGTCAATTATAACGTAAACTGTAGAACGAGCGAGCAAAACTTGTGGTGGCTTCCATTAGTAAATGAAGAAAGAAGAATATCGATCATAGTATTTAACATTCGAGTTTTTAATAATGAATAGCTAACTGAAACAAGGCTGTCATTCTCTTTCTTACAGAGCCCCTATATCGGCTCTAAATTTTATGTCAACCGTACAAGTTATTCCTTCTGGAATTGATGATTAATCCTCTAGAGAAAAAATGCAATCTATCCAAGTATAACACTTCTAATCTATAAATCTTATGAGGTCTGGTGCTACTACAGTAAATTAGCAAAATTTACCCAGACTTAGTTAAACCAATGTAGGATCAACAAAGAGGCATATGATATAATGAACGTTACTGACAAACAGTTCATCGAAAGGAACGTTGGCGCGCCAATCAGAGATAGAATTCAGTGAACCTTCAGTCGCGTGAAATACATGGAAAGTAGTAGACATCGTGTATCAATACTCTGAGCACATATCTGACAACTTGGAAATTCCAACAGAAACCTTTCTTCCATTTCGCTGCTTCGTCGGTCATCTAATTC